AAAGTTATTTCTCATAATTTAACAATTGATTGGCAGAACAAGAGTGTAGTTAATATTAGGTGAAAAGACATTTTAATGATAATAACATTAAATAGAGTAAAAATTAATTAAAATTTGTTTATATTTAAAATTAATTAACATAATTTTTTTTTGTTATTTATATTTAGAACTAGAGATGTATTTTTAATAAAATAAAAATACGTAATATTTGAATCTAATTTTTGGATACTGAATGACTCATGTTCATTATATATATATTTATATTAAAATATAGTTTTTGCATATTATTGATCAATACAAAATTTAAGATAACATAAAAATTGACATCAAGTAATAATTAAGAATTTGAGTATTTAGAGATAATTAACTTATTTTAGTGATTATAGGGATGATTATTTTATAATATTATATTTTTCTATTTAAAGATTTAAAAATATATATTATTAATATTTTTTAAAAATAAAATATTTAATACTTTCATGTAATAAACAAGAAATTTATAAAGAGTTATTATTTCAAATTTTAATGTATGCACGTACTTATTTATTTGAATTCTAAAGAGTGTTAATATAAATTTACTTTTTCTTCCCCTTTGAGGCAGTAGCCAATAAGGTGAGGCGATATTATCAATGAGATGTGGTTGTAATGTCCACTTTATTAATTAAATATTAAATATAAATGTAAATGTGAGGAATCATGATGCAAATATCTTAGGACAAGGGCCATCCTAGCAAATAGCAATGACCAATTGTCAAAAGTGAGGAGACAAGAGAATTTCAGCCTCAACGATGAAAGCAACGACCACACAAAGATATTTTGTTTCACATTTTTCTATGTTACTCAAATATCTAAAAGAGTATATTCATCCCATCATCATTTATTTTTTTGGTAGATATCCCATCATCATTTATAATCATAACAAGTGTCCCCAAAATATTGATTAAAAAAATTATAAGTGACATATAATGCTTACCATGTTGGCTCTCCCTATAACCAGAATTAAAAGGTTAGTCTGTTCAAAAGAGAATATAAAATTGGAGTGATAAAGATAATATGAATCCCAAATAGTCTTATATATTAATATAATAATTACTAATTAATATTTATTAATAAAAAGTTATTGGTTCCCTAATTTTTTTTAACTTTCATATCCCTTTAACCTGCATCATGTTAATTAATATCCCTTTAACCTGCATCATGTTAATTAATAACTTTGAATTTAGTTCATTTATTTATTGTAAATACGTTTTTAAGATTTGATTTTTTTTTATTCATCCTTGGAGTATTCACCGCCGACAGCAGTGACTAATCTCCTCGCTACGTTATGTATTCACATAATTTATTTTATACAAATCTAAAATTAGGTCATTAAATTTTGGTTTATTTACTGACTTTTAAAGTTTTAGCTTAATTTCACTTTTTTTATTGTTAAAGTTTTACAATTATTTTTAATTTTAAAATTTTAAACATTTTACCCTCTTTTTTATTAGTCATATATTTCAGTTAATTAAATGTTGATATGAAATATTAATTATTAATATTAAATGTTTATTTTGCACATCATATTTTATTGATAATTTATATAGATAATTAATATATCATATAAATAATTAATATATTATATCAATAATCAACTAACATATAAATAAATAGTGTAATCAACAAACTCATAAAATATAGGAGGAAGAAAACATAATTAAATTTAAACAAAATTGGAAAGTGTATGACTAACACCTATTTGCATCATGAAGATTTAAAGTTAAAAATTGTAAAAGGTATATATTGTAATAAAATTAGCCAAGTATATTTTGAGAGAGAAAAATACTTGTGCTTTTTTTTTTTTTTTCTTTCTTTTTTTGCTAACTTAGTTTTGAACTATGCGTTTTGTTTTGGGTTGGACTCCCCCAAAGAATTGAAATGGCATATCTAAATCAGGAGGGTGCAGTTTGTAAGGTTTGTTTTATTGTTAGTGATTGTAGCACATAATGAACCAATATAATGAAAGCACATGTTGTGGAGAGATATAAATAAGGAGGATTCGAAGGTATATGTGTGATCTGGCATAGTTATTAGGTCACATCAACTCACGTGGAATCCACTTGATAGTGTCAAACATACACATACAGCCTGGAACTCCATCCTAAATTATAGGACCAATATTCACTTCACATTTACTCACGGGTTATTCTAACATAAATTTAAATAACTTTGCTACAAAGCGTTTTAAATCTTTTTAAATTGTTTTAACATTTTTTACTCTAACTTATAAGTTTATAACTTTGTTACAAATTTAAGTGTAAACTAATATTATAGTTTGTATATATATATAAAAAGTAGTTTATATATTAAACTTGATAAATGTTTATTTTATATAATTTATCATAATAAATAAAAAAAATTAATATATGAATTGTATTATTATTAAATTTTATAATAATAAATTTTTATGAATAAATTAAAGTTAATATTGTGAAATGCATATTACAAGTATTAATTATATATAATTAAAATTTATAATACATAAGTAGCCATGAATATATAAATTGTATTTTAATTAAAGCTTGTAATAAATAGATATTTTTAAAATATAAAATATAATTTAAATTTATATTGTGATACAAAATTAATTTAATTTTAATAAAAATTAAACATTAAATTTTAATTTAAAAATAAAGTTGAAAATAATATATTAAAAGAGAAAATAATTTCTGAAAACAATTCTTTTGAATAATAGATCATAAAAATACTTTCATTAAAATTACTTGTATATATATATATATAAGATTTTGTTAAAAAATTTAAAATTTATTTTGGACAGAGAGATTAAATAGAACATTTTAAAAGAGATAAATACAATAAAAAAAGAAGAAGAGATAAATGATTAAAAATATGTCGACAGAAATGAATGGGAAATAGTTTTACATGGTTGAGGAGTGTTTTTTTTTTTCCTAATTACAAAAGTTATGTGAAATACTATATATCTAAAAGGGGGGAAAATTGTGACATTCACCCAAATTTTGTATTCTGATCTATAGTATACTAGACAAAGTATAAGTACAAATATAAACGTGATTCACTTTAATGCTTACGTTACAAATACAATTATTATAACTAATATATCAAATATAATAGAAAGTACAAGAATGGCTGTTACACTTCACTCCAAATCAAATCTCTCCAAATTATATGACAACTCTTACACTAAACAAATAGAAGATCTAAAATAAAAAAATAAAAAAATAAAAATTCTCTGCAATTAATAATACTACTTAATAAGATGTCAGAGATGATATTGTTAAGTAAAACTTAAGAAACACAATTTAAAAATGCAAGCCTTCATTTCTAATCATCCAACAAGCTATGAAGATTATTGATTTTTCTCTACCATTATGTATTTGTAAATTGTAGCCCATAATAAAGAAAGATTGTCAAATATAAATTTTATACATTAATAAGAAATGTCTTCATTGTCAATTAAATTTCATTTTGTTAATAAAAATTTTAAAAAAAAATATTGAGTCAAAATATTTTTTTAAAAATTATTTATTTAACACGATATATAAAAAAATTAATATTTAATTTCAAATTTAAATTATGTATTCAATTTTGAATATTAATATTTGAAAGGAATAAAATATTTAAATTATGTAAAAATGGTTGATTTAAAAAAACTGCAAACCTTATAAACAAAGATTTAGCTTTTCTAAAACGACCAACAGTAAAATAGTAAATTTAGTTGATGACAAAAAAATTTATTAGCCATTAATATTCTTAGTTTATTATACATGTATACATAATATTAATTGTTAACCTTCTGGGTAACTAAAATTATTCATTTAAAATACATCACTCACTTTAAATGATAATAAACACTTAAAGTTCTAAGTTAATAATGAATGAATTCTCAGAATTTTTTTTTATTAAAATTTAAAAAAGTTAGAAGTAATGCACAGTTACAACTTACTACTATTATCGTAAGAAGATATTCATTAAAACACTTATGAATTTACTTGCCTACATTTTTTCCCTCCTATTTTACTATTCTGCATGTTAAAACCAGATTTAATACATTGTTTGATTTTTATTTTTCAAAAAAATCAATTAAGCTCGTAAATTAAAAAATTGTAAAATTTTCACATCATATTATTATTCCATATCATCATCATATATATCAAGTTTCAATCTTTACTCCTAAAATTTTCTTACAACCTTCCTAGTCACAAGAATTCTAGAAAAGTATAAAATTTAATCAGACGGATTAAAACCTAATAAACATGATATGAAATAATCTAAAGTGCTTGTCGAGTGAAGATATAAATAATATCTTGTGGATTTAATATGTGGAACTAAATTACATAAACATAAAAAGATGAAGGACCTAATTAATAATTCTCAAATATTCATAAATCAAATGATGTATTAAATCTTAAAGTTACACAAAGATAATAAAATAAACGCCAAAAACATTTCTACACAGACGACAAGCATCCTTGATATTTGCTTCTTTTATTTCATTAACTTAAAAAATTACCAATATGAAATGATTTTAATTAGAAATCAACACCGACATAGTATTAGTATGTATTTAAATTGTCTCTACAAACACAAACACGCATGTAAAATATCGAGTGATCTTCATTCCAAAAAAAAAAAATCCTCTCATGTAGTTGCTACGATCTCAAACATGGATAAAAGCAAGTAGACTGTCCTTTTTAGAATATCAAGCATCAGATGATATATTTTGTTCTTTAATATTAAGACAACAGATAGATAATACACGAAATCAATTTCGTATCTGAGGACATAGTAATGGTCATAACAGCAGAATCTCCAAAGGTAACGACACTGCAGGGCGAAACTATGGACAAAAAGCAAAAAAAATGATCCTAACCAAGGCAAAAAAAACCCTGAAACTTCACGTATAAATTATAGTTGCCAATCTATGGGATCAACCCCCATTTGCTCCAGAAGTTGGTTAGTGCGAGAGAAGTGCCTGCTCAGATAAATTTAATTAAACGAGATGAAAAGCAGGAACCAAAAATTGCTTATGTTGACGAGGGGTAAATTAAATTGATCGGGTGGTTTTTTCAAATATCAATTGGATATTAAGTAAGATCTGAGTTTCGGTTTCACTTCATGAGTCTATAACAAAGCTAACCAAAAATGGTTCAATATACCAGAGGAACAGAACATGAACCTGTGGTATTACATCAAACACTATATGAACGACTAATAATGACAGCCTTCGTAGTGGTGGATTGAAAATCCCAGTGACTACTACATAAAATAAAAAAAAGCATACATACAATTTAAATCCTGCATTGATTTTGCAATACTAAGTGAGCTTGGTTGAGTATGTGAGAAGTGCAATTCTTCATAAAAAGAAATGCAAATGTATTCTAGACTTTTATGGTGTTCAAATATATTTTCACTTTTCGGCATTCCAAGTTCCACCTACTCAACCAAGTACAACCTAAATATTCAATAACAGTTACAGCCCTCCATTTTTGAACGTTCTAGACTCCAAATGGAACTATTTTGTAACCAAAAAAAAAACTTTTAATAAATGTCATGTTATAAACTGCATCGTCTGTACAAAAAAAAAATACTTTAACACGTTCACAGAAAGCACTCTGTTGCATATCTTCTAATTCCAGCAGTTATTCACAATAGCAGTTAGCCAACACGTGTCCTTATTCTTGAAATAAACTTAACACATGATCAAGAATGCCTGATTGATATATTATAAACATAAGGCAGGACATATAGAAGTTTATTTTACTCACAGCTATATTGAACACATTAAACTATAATGCAAAACCACCTTACCTGCAGCCAAAGAAGCCTCTATTTGCAGACAAACCAGAAGGATGTGCAGCTTTAAGAACATGATGCTTTGTTGCATCAATTAACCTGTGTATATGACACTCAAGCCCAAATTCATAAACGGGGTTCACAGAATTTATCTTCCATGTAATTAAAGAAATGAGTCGATTTATTTTAGAAAAACAATTTCCAAAATGCAGCTTATAGTTAATAGATATATAATTGCAGCAATTACTTTGTCACCCATATGTCAAATAAAAATTTAACCGTTTTTTTTTTTTTTCAAGCTGGCTTTGGAAAATTATTAACGAAATTATAGCATGCCCAGGTCATTATTTCATGTTTGGTTTCAAAGGCATGTTAGAGTTGCACAAAGACAGTACCTGGATTTCTCCCGAGCAGAGTTTCCCCACAACAGAAACACAACTCCTTCCTTCTTCTGTGAGATTGTCTTGATAACAGCATCAGTAAATTGTTCCCAGCCTTTTTTGGCATGAGAATTTGCTTGATGCTTCCTGACTGAACAGTAAAATACTAATCATAAAACACCACAGGAATACAAGCATAGAAAAAGAAAACATAGTGAATTACAGTGTCATAACTCATATTAGATCAGCAAGCAAGTAGTGAAACATAAAACAGTATGATACCAAAAAGTCATCAATATACTTGATTAGAAGTTCACAAAAATTAAATTAAAAAAAAAGAAAACTAACCTGTGAGAACAGCATTGAGTAAGAGAACACCCTGAAATGAAATTAAAATTGTGATAAATTATTTAAAAAACAACACTCACCAAATGAAGTCATCCATTATGTTAAAGAGAAATGCTAAAGAACACACTCTTTGATTAGTCAAAATTTATTGAAAATCATAAAATTTAGTAAGTTTCACACCTCATTTAATAACTCCCTTACGATTTTGTAATTTTCAATGAATTTTAACCAATAAGAGATGTGTTAAGAAAAATGTTTTAGAAAGTGTGTTACTAGCACATTTCTGTGTTAAAATGTCTATATCAACATCACTCAACATTTAGACCACAAACTTACCAAACTTCACCAAAAATCCATCTTTCTACTCAATAAAACTAATTGGTACTCTTTTAAGGTGTGAATTTAGTTATTGACAAATAGTTTTTATCTTCAAAGCATACAAAATATTAGAAGAAAATGTCCTAGTTTGGTTAAAATTCTTCATAAACACTTATAGGAGAAGAAATGAAGACATAAAATGAATCAAACTTTTCCCTTAAGTTAATATCATGTTATGCATTTCAGCTTTTGGAAAAGTGAGATGAGAACTTATAAAAATGTAAAGTAGCATAACTTAATTTTAACTTATGAGAAAAGTTTGATCCATTACCTCATTCTTTTTATCCTCCCAGAAGGGCTTATCGAAAAGCTAATCCAAACTAAGCCATTAACCATATCACACAAAGATGACTTAGTGTAGAAAGTGCTTTCAAAACATGAACAAGATTAAGTTCACACCTTGCAAGACGTTTACAGTGTACATTACAATCAATACTACCCAGCACTCAATACTGTAAAAATACTTATGTAAAATTAGCTATTTATGGCATTGAGAATATACGTTGAATCATTGATAACCATTATCATTATCCTTGACATTATTTTTAAAACTTTACAGTTTGCCATTTTATTTTTCAAAATGAGAACAAAAACTGCTAGTCCCACACCCATTTGCAATTACTATTGATGATCCATATTCCCCTCATTGCAACCTTTGGAAAAAGACAAAACCCTACACAAAACTCAGGCGTAAGTCGGAGATTCAAAATTGTACCTGCACTGCCCACTTTTGAAGATTTCCATGAAGTGGAATGGAGCAGCCGAGGTCTTGGTGAAGCTCCTTGAAAATATTTACCAAACTGGAAGGTATTTTGACCCCTTCAGGGACTGAGAATGAAAGCCCCATTGCTTGACCAGGCCCATGATAAGGGTCCTAAACATTAAACAAAACCCAAAAATCACTAAAAGAATGTTAGATTAGATAAACTTCTATTGGGTAAACTCAACCTATGCACCTTGACTATTACAAAAGTCAAATGAAAACTTCAAAAAAAAAAAAACAAAAAAGTTAAGTTCAAGAACTTTAATTTCTTTTTGAGTTTGACGGTGATGCTCTGACACTTAAAAAAGTGTAAAATAATTTTATAGTGTCATTTAATCAGATATCTCCATTGGTGTAACTTTTCATTAGTATATAATAAAAATATCGGCCTATCACCTATTTCCACTTTAATTTATTTGGTTTAATTAACTTTGCTCCATATAATTTCGTAAACTTTATCTTTTAATGTTTATAATTAAAAGTATTTTATTCTAGTCTCTATATGTACCATTTTTTTCCCCTTTTAATCCATATAGGCAGGAACCACACATTTCATGTGTAAAAACTAAAACGGAACAAAGTAAAGTATAAGGACTTAAAAGATGAAATTGATGTAACTATAGTTAAGAACCTGGCCAAGGATAACAGCTTTGACTCTATGAAAAGGGGTAGAGTTAAGAGCATTGAAAATCAAGTGCGTGGGAGGGTAAACGACGTCGTCGCCGGTGGAAATCTCGCTTTCGACGAACTTGGAGAGAGTGAGGGCATAGGGTTTTTGAAGTTCGGCAGGGAGAGCCTCGAGCCACGTTTCCTCCACCAGAAGCTCCTCGAGCTTCACGCCACCTGAACCTGAACCTGATCGCGCGTTTGGATAATCAGAAACGGAAACGACGATGCATTGAGTGAAACGACGGGATGCGGATTTACCTTTGCTTTTCTGGAGCCTCTCGACGCAGAGTTTGAGATTCCTCTTTGACTTGGCGAGGAACTTTTGGTATTCGACGCGCGACTTTTGGTCGACGGAGAGAGCGGTGGCATTGGCGCCGTCGGAGTTGCAGGACGCGGCGAGAGTGGGCTTCGAGCGCTTCGAAACGGGTTGGAAAATGTCCGTTAGGGTTCTCGTTCTCGATGCCATTTTCCCTTTGCAATGGCGGGAACGGAAACGAATGTATCACGGATCTTCTTCTTTTCGACTCACATTTATAATTATAAGGGTGAGCACAGAGAATGACTTGCACCCTTTCATTGAGTTAGTTACTTATATAATAAGATTAACTTTGTGAACAAGAAGTCAGGATGGCCGAGTGGTCTAAGGCGCCAGACTCAAGTTCTGGTTCTCGTGAGAGAGCGTGGGTTCAAATCCCACTTCTGACATTTTTGGTAAATATTTAACATAAACAAAAACATAACTTTAAAATAATTTTTGTAAACAATATTTATATACTCAGAAACATAAAAAAATTTAATTTTAAAAAATTTAGTACAAATATTTTTAAGAACTTTTATAAGTAATTAAACAGATTTTAACTATTAACAAAAATAAGGATTTTTTAGATTTGTCATGATACTTAAAATTTGTAATTCTCAAAAATCTTAATTTTGAATATGAAAAAACATTTTCTCTACCAAATGCCCTCTTAGATCTCCTTCAAGCAAAATAAATAGTAACAAATATAAATAAATTTAATTCTAAATGTTTTTAAAAAATAACAATTAACAAAACATAACCATTTTTAAAAGTATGGATACAACATTGTTAAGTAAAACTTTGTAAATTTTTAGTTCATTATCGTAATTATTCCAATACAAACTTGAATTTTGTTTTTCATATGTTTGTTGTTCAAACAAAGATTTTAAATTATAATTAGATACTACTATTTTTTTTTTTATTTCACTTCCCAAGTGACAGTAAAATTGAGTAGATAATTTTAACCGTAATATTGTTAATGAAGTTAATTTTTCTCATTTTAAATTTTAAAAATGTATCAATAATTTAAGTAAAATTGGTCATTTTTTAAATTTAAAAATAATGTGTAAACTTTAGAAAGGTGATCCATTTTATATTTTTGTTCAATTTCAGATAAAAAAAAATTATTTGGCTCAAATAAGAGAGTTAAAACAAATCGAAAGTGAGTGAGTGTTTTTCTTTTTTAATTATATAAAAATTTTGACACTGAACAAAAATGTTAAAAGTGTTATCTTTTAAAAGTTTATAAACTAATTTTCCATCGACTAGTTTTATTTACTTTAAAAAAAATTAACTTCATCAACAATATTTGATTTAAATTATTTACTCTAATTTTTTCCACTTAGAAAGTTAAATAAAAATAAATGAAAAACAACAATGTCTCTCTAATGAAAAAATAATGTTTGAATATCACACACATCAACAATGAAATTTCAATCTCTACAAAAACAACCATTATAGTGAATTAAAAATTTCCACAATTTTAATTAATAATATTATAACCATAATTAAAAAATAGTTATTTTGGTAAATTGTTAGTTTTTAAAAATTCAAAAATTAAAATTAGTTATATTTATTAATTTGTACATTTCAAAAGTCATGATTCCTGAATGTGAAAAATTTCTCATCCACCAAATGTTCCCATTGATCTCCTTTTAGCAAAATAAATAGTAACAAATATAAATAAATTTAATTTGTTTTATAAAAACTAACAATTAACAAAATACAACAAATTTTTAAATTATATACATAACATTGCTAATTAAAACTTTACATCTATCAAATGCTTCCTCAAATCTCCTTTTAACAAAATAAAAAATAGTAACAAATATAAATAAATTTAATTTAGAATTTTAAAAAAACTAACAATTAACAAAATACAACCTATTCTCACCTATAATAGTATGGGTGTTGACCATCTTGGGCGAGATCTCACGGTCTCCTCTGCTTGGTAACTCAGTTCTTCCGATGGGGGAGTACCTGCAAAAAAAGACTTTGATGCTTAAGTTAGTATATGATGATGAAGATGTGTCTTATTTATAATGCACATACTTTTTCAAAGATAACATTATCTTTTTTATAGGTATTACGATCTTTATGGTATGGACCTATAACCGTACCTTATATTCGTTGATAGGGTCTTTAGATGACATGACCCTATTTGGCTGATGTGATATAGCAATGTTACCAATATGTAATTTGACTCGAGATGTCAATATCTTCTATCTTTGGCTAAACTCATCAACTCGGTCGGGTTGGTACACAACAATTTTTTAAATTATTCATATAGCATTGATAATTAAAATTTTGTAAATTTTTAGTTCACTAATGTGGTTGTTCCAATAGAAACTTGAATTTCGTTTCCTAGGTATGCGATGTTCAAATCAAGATTTTTAATCAGAATTAGATACCGTTATTGTTCATTTTTTTATTTAACTTTCCAAGTGACGGAAAAACAGAGTAGATAATTTAAAAAAAAAAATGAATTATTTAAGTAAAATTTATCATTTTTAAAATTGAAAAATAAATTATAAACTTTAGAAAGGTAATACATTTAACGTTTTTGTTCAATTTTAAATAATTATTTATTTGGTTCAAATAAGAGAGTTAAAACAAAGAGAAAGAGAGTAAGAATTTATATATTTTTTAATTATACAAAAATTGAACCAGATAAATAATTATTTGAAGTTGAACAAAAATATTAAAAGTGTTATCTTTCTAAAGTTTATAAACTATTTTTCAAATGATCAGTTTTACTTTAAAAAAAGTAAGTTCACCAATAATATTTGATTTAAATTGTTTACTCTATTTTTTTGTCACTTGCAGAGTGAAATAAAAAAATGAAAAATAACAATGTCTAACTCTAATAAAAAATTAATGTTTGAACATCATTCACATAAAAAATGAAATTCGAGTCTCTACAAATATAAATAATAACAAATATAAATAAATTTAATTTTGAATTTAAAAAACTAACAATTAACAAACTACAACAATTTTTAAAATTATTGACATAGCATTACTAATTAAAACTTTGTAAATTTTTAGATCATTGTCATGGTTATTCCTATAGAAACTTCAATTTCATTTTTCATGTGTGTGTGTGATGTTCAAACAAATATTTTTAATTAGAGTTAGATATTGTTATTTTTCATTCTTTTATTTAACTTTCCAAGTGGCGATAAAATAGAGTAGATAATTATTAACTACACAATATTGTTAATGAACTTAAATTTTCCCATTTTAAATTTTAAAAGTATATTAATTATTTAAGTAAAATCGATTATTATTTTAAATAAAAGTTAATTTGTAAACTATGGAAAGGTAGTCCATTTTATATTTTTGTTCAATTTCAAATAATTTTTATTTGGTTCAATTAAGAGAGTTAAAATAAACAAGAAACGAGTGATCATTTATTTTTTTTAATTATATAAAAATTGAACAAAATGAAATGATATTTGAAAATTAACAAAAATGTTAAATGTGTTATCTTTTTAAAGTTTATATATTATCTTTCCATTAACCAGTTTTACCTTAAAAAAAATTAAGTTCATCAACAATATTTGATTTAAATTATTTACTTTATTTTTCTTCCACTTGTAAAATTAAAATAAATAAAAAATGCAACAATATCTAACTCTAATGAAAACTTCATGTTTAAGCATCACACACATGAAAAACAAAATCTTAGTCCCTACAAAAACAATCATCATAGTGGAATAAAAACTTATACAACTGTAATTAATAATGTTAAAACAAAAATTAAAAAATGGTTATTTTTTTAATTATTAGTCTTTAAAAATTCAAAAATAAAAATTAGTTATATTTATTTATTTGTAATTTTCAGGAATCATGATTTATGAGTACAAAAAAACTTTTCATCTATCAAATGCTTCCTTAGATCTCCTTTTAGCAAAATAAAATATAGTGACAAATATAAATAAATTTAAATTGAAATTTTTAAATAAACTAACAATTATCAATATACAACCTGTTCTCACATGGAATAGTATGGGTGTTGACCATGCTGGGTGAGATCTCAAAGTCTCTTTTGCTTGGTAACTCGATTCTTCCGATGCCGGAGTACCTGCAAAAAAACTCTGATGCTTAAGTTAGTATATGATAATGAAGACGTGTCTTATTTATAACGCACATACCTTTTCAAAGATAACATTATCTTTTTTATGGGTGTTACGATCTTTATGATATGCACTTATAACCGTACCTTATATTCGCTAATAGGGTCTTTAGATGACATAACCCTATTTGACCGATGTGATATACCAATGTTACCAATATGTTATTTGGCTCGAGATGTCAATATCTTCTATCTTTGGCTAAACTCATCAACTCGGTCGGGTTGGTACACAACCATTTTTTAAATTATTCATATAGCATTGGTAATTAAAATTTTGTAAATTTATAGTTCACTAATGTGGTTGTTCCAATAGAAACTTGAATTTCGTTTCCCAGGTATGTGATGTTCAAATCAAGATTTTTAATTAGAGTTAGATGCTGTTATTTTTCATTTTTTTTATTTAACTTCCCAGGTGACGAAAAAATAGAGTAAATAATTTAAAAATATATATGAATTATTTAAGTAAAATCGATCATTTTTAAAATTGAAAAATAAATTATAAACTTTGGAAAGGTAATACATTTAACAGTTTTGTTCAATTTTAAATAATTATTTATTTGGTTCAAATAAGAGAGTTAAAACAAAGAGAAAGAGAGTAAGAATTTATATACTTTTTAATTATACAAAAATTGAACTAGATAAATAATTATTTGAAGTTGAACAAAAATATTAAAAATGTTATCTTTCTAAAATTTATAAACTAATTTTCAATTGATCAGTTTTACTTTAAAAAAAGTAAGTTCACCAATAATATTTGATTTAAATTGTTTACTCTGTTTTTTTGTCACTTGCAGAGTGAAATAAAAAAAAATGAAAAATAATAATGTCTAACTCTAATAAAAAATTAATGTTTAAACATCATTCACATAAAAAATGAAATTCGAGTCTCTACAAATATAAATAGTAACAAATATAAATAAATTTAATTTTGAATTTAAAAAACTAACAATTAACAAAATACAACAATTTTTAAAATTACTGACATAGCGTTGCTAACTAAAACTTTGTAAATTTCTAGATCATTGTCATGGTTATTCCAATAGAAACTTCAATTTTATTTTTCATGTGTGTGATGTTCAAACAAATA